ATGTGTATAAGAGACAGAGTATGGACAGCAATATGAATTCCACAGATCTTTTACTATTATTGGGATTATTATTCTTATATTATTTTGTATTATATTCTACCTGTCTCTTATACACATCTAGATGTGTATAAGAGACAGCTCCTCAATACTATTGCACCCGCTGCAGTAAGTATATCAAAGTTGTTGACTTTTTATTCCAACATGTTGCTCTCTACCTGCTGCTTCTATAGAGTACAATGCAAGTGTCGTCGCAACACCAGGTGGCGCCCTTTATTGACTTTGGTAAAGCGGTCATTACGCCTGAATGACTTCATAAATCTTAATGGTTTTAAGTAGGCTTTCTGGAATAGGCATTTAAAAACATAATTCACAATCAAAATGTACTCAAAACACAAAGGCTTGCATTATATTAGTTATCTAACACATATTTAATCGTCAGTTAAAATTTACAAAGAAAATTAAAATTATAACACATAATAATTATGTTAGAAATTGGGATCAGTGGTTTGTCAGTGGAGACAATGAATCCAGTTGACTTCAGTAGTATCACGTGGTGTCGTGACGTAACAACATAGTACTCTAACAAGTGCTTATGTAGAATTTTATTTTGAAATTTAGTAGAATCTGCAGGATTCGAACCCAACACCGTGATATTAGAAGGCAAGCATCTTAACCCACTAGTAACAGGTCTTCATACTTGCAAACCTGTTTTTTTTTTTCTTTTCAAACAGTTTCATCTTTATTTGTAAATTTCATTATTAAAAAGAAATGTTCATTGTTTCTTTTAAATATGTTTTTGTATTTATAAAAAGTTTCATTGAAAGAAGTGTTTATAACAATTTGCAAAGTAAGATATTTTATTACTTTCTTAGCAACTGTCTGATCCAGGAAAATATGCACTGATTGGGGCAGCAGCACAACTAGGTAAGACATACACAATATTTTACATTACACAATTCAGTGTCATATGCTCTACGATTTTAATACATTTAGTTTTGTGATTTGGTAATAAGAATACTCCGATTCAGCTACTGACAACCATTTTTAATTTGATGGCATTAAATATACAAAGAATATAAATTTTATTATTCCCGTTATCATTAATGATTGAATTTTTTTTATGATATTAGGATATTGTTTTAAAAAAATTCATATAACTCTACCATCCACAAACAGCACTCTCTACAAACGGTGCCCTCTATTGACACATCTTTTTATTAAAATTCAACAGGTGGTGTTCTTCGTATGACAATTAGCCTGACTGTGATATTGATAGAGGCAACTGGCAACATCACCTACGGCCTTCCTCTCATGCTTGTGCTGGTGTTTGCCAAGTGGATTGGTGATCTCTTCAACGAAGGCCTGTACGATATTCACATACAGCTGCAGAGTGTTCCTATACTTCCCTGGGAACCTCCGCAATTAACAGCAAATATCCATGCAAGGTATTTATGGATTTTTTTTATTTTGTCTACGTTTACAATTGATGTACCATAAAACCTTGAATAGAAGCCCAATGGCCTTAATCTCGAGAAGAAGCCCATCTCGATTTGAAGCCTCCTCTTTATTTTTCTAAAGTAGCCTTGAAAAGAAGCCCATTTCTTTGAAATAGTAAAGTGCACACTGTACATGAAGTTCAAAGAAACAAAATAAATTAATCATGCTTGGTTTATACAGTAGTTTAGGTGATTTAATGCTGGTTAATACAGATTAATGTTACATTTACGCTATTTATTGTTTTATAGTAGTAATTCACACAATTCACAACATTCATTTTGAAAAGAATTTCCTGATTTACTTTGCAAAAGTCGCCTTGAAAAGAAGCCTAACCGGAGTTCTCAAAAAAATAGAAGCCCTGTGCTTCTATTCGAGGTTTTACGATATATGACCTGAAATATTTGATGGAGGCCGGGGTAGAGTAGGCTGTGCATTGCGTGTGGTTGAGGCTGTTTCCAATTGAACTTTCCGTGTGTCAATCAAATATCTGACCAGTCAGGACTAGGCCAGGTACATGGGCATATATCCCACATGTTTAGAGTGGTTGATTACAGTATGGACAGCACTATGAATTCCACAGATCTTTTACTATTATTTGGATTATTATTCTTATATTATTTTGTATTATATTCTACTATTATTATAGTGTAATCATTGTTGTTATGTTGTTTTTCAGTGAGATCATGAATCGCCCAGTAGTGACCTTAAACAGTATTGAGAAAGTTGGTCGGATAATTGATGTGCTTAGCTCATCTGATTCTAACCACAATGGTTTTCCTGTTGTTGATCCTCAGGATCCACAGGAGGAGGTAAGTACGAGTCATACTGAACCTCAAATAATGTAATTATATACATGTATATCAGAGATCCCAAGTCTCCCGAAAATTCGCGGGTTCTCCCGATTTTTATTAATATCTCCCGATTTTTTTAAATATCCCGAAAATTTCATGAAAAATGTGATTTCCACGATGTCATAGAGCAGTGAAACAAAATTTCTTATCTTAAGCCAATATACTATGGCGCTCGCTCAGCAGTAAAATGTCATAAACAAGGCCAGGGAGTTGTTATTTAAGTTGTTTATCAAAATAACAACTCCAGGGCAAGGCAGGCCTAGATCCGTGGTGTTTATCCTCCATGTTACGATCTTTTGCATCCAGCTAGTGCCAATTTTTCAGTTGCAGTTACCTTGCTAGAATTCAATGTTCTTTGATGAGATGTAATAAATCAGCCGTAGCCTCTAACATGCCAATGAACCGAGCAAAGCCTTGTTGACTGCTGCCAAAACGCTTTACTAGCTAAATGCTAAATAAACAATAATATTTATAAATTTATATTTTAGGCCAACTGCAATGTGTAAACAAATGTAAAATTCTTAAATAATAATAATAATAATAATAATAATAATAATAATAATAATAGTGTAGTTTTTATATAGCGCACATATCCATCTAATGTAAGATGCTCAGGGCGCTTGATGTGTGGACTAGGAACTCGATCAATGACTTTCTTCGCCCCTAGGGGTCCCTTCGTGTCTGTGCTACCCGGTAACCCGGTACCAGCAACTCTCGTCGTCCACCACAGGGGCTGTCTGTTCCAGTACACCGGGGTATCCCCCTACTCGTCTCGAAGGATGTACTGGGTTCTTT